CCTCAAGCTGTGGTTATGTTTGAAATACGCATGTTCTGGAAAAGAGAAAATGGAAATCTTCGATAATCGGTCCCTTGATTGCCCATGGCAAGAAAAAGGATAATTAAAGCCATGCTGCTAATATAATATGTGAACTCAAGGTGTCTCGAGGCTTCTTTCGTTCGTTGCTGAAACTGGAAGGAAGCGCCGAAGCAACTACATGGTGCCTCTTCGTGACCAGACTTTGGACTTAGATTAGCTTATTTGCTTCCTTTAAGTTTGTCTACTTCTAGTGGCTCGGTGGAAAGCATGAATTAGGTACTTTCAGGCCGAGGCAAACATCTTAGCCCATTGTGCATACAAAATATTTCGAGCCGGTGCAATTAAAAAGGCGTGCCTGATTCTTTTAGTGCAAAGTGAACTGGTACTTAATATTTGTTTGCTTTCTAATGTATATTTGGCTTTAGCCCATTGTTACTAACTTAAATCTAATCGAATTAAGACACCTTTGTTCATGCTCTGTCGTGGCAGCGTTGATCGCAACCGTTGGCTTTGTTAAACAACCACCGTGCAAGTCGGTTTCAGGTCAGAAAATGGTGTTCCTCCGCCCCTCTTCACGCATGTCTTTTCTCTGTGCTGAAAAATAAGTTGCAATATGCTGTGAGCTTCCAATTAGAGATGCACAGAAGCCGGATTTCAATCCGATCCTGATCGGATAAAAATCGATCCGGTTTTTTCCCCCAACCCAAAAACCGGATTTTAAAAAAACCGGATCAGATCGGATCCTAACCGGTTTGGAGGGCCGGATGGTGTAACCGGTTTCAGTTTGCAAAAAAACTGGTTTTTAATAAAAAAACCGGATTTTTTCGGATAAAAAAACCGGTTTTTTATCCGGTTTGAAAAAAAAACTGGTTTTTAATCCAGTAAAAAAACCGGTCGTTCAATTTTTTCCCGAACCGGTTATACTATCCGGTTTTAAAAAAACCGGTTCTTCAAAATCCGCTTTCGAATATTTTTTAAGCAAAATCGGATATTCAGATTTTTTGTGCAACTTTACTTCCGATGTACGTGGCGACTTTGCCCCGCCTGTGTCTCGCATTTCCTTATGAGTACAGTTTCTGCTTTACCTTGAACAATCTTCCACAGAGTAGTTTCCTACTTTTTCCCTTTTCTTTTCCATTATCGGTTGAACATGTTCCTAGTGACCCACTAGTTTTGGGATAGGGACTGGACTGATATATTTATATAACACGTTTTCCTGTTTATAATGATGCTGTTGGGTTAATGGTTTGTCCTGTTTTTTCCTTTTCTCGTTGAAGGTTCAGTTTAGGGGGTTTGATCCCAATTTTGCAAAATTTTAAAATTATTGATCTTATTATCACGACTAGTACATCCAAATGGTTCATTAAACTGGAACAAAACACCATAATGGTGGTGGAAAAGGAGGAAACTGTAAATTGTAGATATTGAAATGAAGCACTTCAAGCGCGTCATTTGATGAATGGAATATATTGTTCGATGAATTATTTGAATTGTTTATATAATTTTGGTTTATATTAATTTATTAAATTAAAAAGTTTAGTATAGATAAACTCGTTTATAAATTTATTTATTCATTTCTTATTTTTCTTTATTTTTTTCTACATTTTAAATATCGCTGAAGATACTGACTAAATTGAACATAGAGTAAACTTTGGAATTCAATCTAAGAAACTTTAAGAGTTAAGGACTAGTGACATGATTTTACTATTTTTATTAAATTTTTAACATATAAGTGAACATATTCGCGAACAACAAACCAATATATTTGATTTTGGTATATTTTAGTTCTTAAACTTTTTATTTTTTTAAACTATACATAATGTTTATTTTTTGTTTTATTTTAGTATCCCGCTAAAAACATAATGTTAAGTTTTGTAGAAAATCTAAAAGTTTAGATACTAAAATTGATCAAAACTGATAGACATTTTAAATATCGTTGAACATACTGACTAAATTGAACATAGAGTAAACTTAGGAATTCAATCTAAGAAACTTCAAGAGTTTAAGGACTAGTGGCGTGATTTTACTATTTTTATTAAACTTTTAACATATAAGTGAACATCAAGAACAACAAACTAATATATTTGATTTTGGTTTTTTTTAATACTTAAACTTTTAATTTTTTTTAAAATTAATCATGATATTTAATTTTTATTTTATTTTAATATCCTTTAAAAACATAACGTAGTTTTGAAAAAAATTTAAAAATTTATGTATTAAAATAGATTAAAACTGATAGTTTAATAAACGTGTTGAATTTTTAAGGAGTACCCTGACATGAAAAAAAATTAAATAGTAGATATGGGGTGGTGGGGCTGGAGGTTGGTGATTTAATTCAAGAGGTGCTAGCTCCTCTTTTCTTTTATTCATCAAAAAAAAATATATATGGGGTGGTGGGGAGTGGAGCTGCAGCCTGCAGTTGACGGACATAAAAGGGGAAAAGGGTGGATGAAACGTGGTCGTCCGACGGAGCGGATAAGTGGGCCAGTGGCCCTTGCTGGGAGTAGGAGCCACTGTGCTAGGCGTGTATCCGGTTTGATTCAGGTTCACTAAAATATGAGTCGAATCTCTTGTCGGTTTTTGAAAATGGGAGTCAAGACCGGATGGTATAAAAGCATTAGTTTTTGGATCGGTTCGTGTTGGCTAATTTCTACTTTTTATTATTTTCAAATTCAATTTAAAAAAATAAATTTAAAATTTAAATCGAGTATAAATATTTAAATTAAAATATTATTAGCTTTAATATTTTATTTATTTAAATTTATCTTATAATAAATTCAAAATGAATGTATTTTTCATACTTATTTTCTTTTATTTTTTAAATTTGATTTAATTCGATTCACATATAAAAAAAACTATAACCAAATCAAATTGGATATTTATTTTTTAAAAATAAACCGGAAATTAAAATCTCAAACCAAATCAAATCGAACCAAATAATTCAATTCGAATTAATTATTCGATTTGGTTAGCTCGGTGCTAATTGCCGGGGGATTAAAAAGTAAAAGAGGGGTTAATGGACACGTGGGATGTTTGACAAGTGGTGGTGCAGGGGCTGATCATCCCCGCTCTTATAGTGCCCTCCTTTGGGTCCTTACACTTTATTATCCGTACCACGATTCCTTTTCCACCCTCCCTCCCCCTCCCTTCATGTGCTTTCCCCTCCCTCCAACTTTATTAATAATTTTTGTTGAGTCTATTGACTATCAAAAGTTATAAAATGGTCATTTAATTATAGTGTATTAATTTGTTAGTCCCTCGACTATTAAAAACTATAAAATGATAATCCGACTATTTATTATGCTCTAAACTAGTCATTTTCCATAAAAAGATTGATTGCAGCTTGAGTTTGATGTGAATATGTTGTCTGGGATATGATAATCGTTTGAGATATGAAAATGTATATAACAAATACAACTTTATAATCATCTTTAACTTGATAAAAAAATAACGATAGTCGAGGGAGCATGGAACAAATTATATCAATGGTTAAAAGATTGTTTGTTATTCCTATAGGTTCAGAGTTTGAGCACCAGTGATTACAGTAAGGGTGATTGAGCGTCAATTGTCAAATGACTGAGAGTTTATTATCAAATGATTGAGAGTTCATTGTCAAATGATTGAGAGTATTTAGAATAAATTCAACTCTGTACTCACCTTAGTTTAATCAAAAAATAAAAAATTATAGTCGAGGGATTCAACAAAACAATATCCTTTAGTCGGGACCCATTTTATAACTTTTGATAATCAATAAACTTAATAAAACAACGGATTCAACAAAACAACATCCTTTAGTCGGGACTCATTTTATAACTTTTGATAATCAATAAACTTAATAAAACAACACCTTATAGTCGGGGATCAATTGTGTACTTTACGCTGATTTATTTGTAGTTACATTCTCTTTTGAATTAAGGTAATTTTATAAAACTAAATTTGGATTAGGGTAAATTTTGAATTTGAATTATTCCGTCTAAACAAGAATGAGTAAGGAATTTGTATCCTACATATTTTTTTATATTTATTTTGATGTTATAAAACTTAAAGAAGTTTGATCAATTACTTCAATTTAATTTATGATTTTTCAGTCTTATTGAAAATTAAATAATAATTAATCATAATTTTATATTGCAAAAGGACAATTACAAGGAAGAAAAACAAATAGGGTTGCTATAGAAGGTGTAGACCCTCTTCATTACAATCATCCTTAGTAGGGATGGGCATGGCTGAGTTTCGATCAACTTAACTCGATCTAAAAAATTTATATCCTTCATTCGATTCGATTATAAAAGTATATACCCTCTAGCTGACTTGAACCCGATCTCACTTTTTGAGATAAAATTCGAACCGATTTAACCCGAAATAATAATAAAAATATTATCTCTATTCAATAAAAACAATGATTTAATTGAAAAAAAATATAGCGGGGTATTCTTGTAAATATTCATAAATATATAAGGTAAACATATTTTTTTGGATCGGGTCGAGTATGGTATTTTTCACCTTAACATCACTTTTAAAAAACCCACCTGACTCAATTTTTTTTAAATCCTGACTCAATCGGGTCGGGTCAGATTCGAGTCTCATATCCATTCCTAATTGTTAGTATATATGTCAATCATATAATCATTAACTATTTATAGGTCAGTAAGCTAGGTAAATATGATAATCAAATATTTTAGGTTTTATTATAGTAGATCATACATGTATGCCATAGATATTATATAATTTATAATTTATTTTAAAAATATGATTTTATTTTAAATATAGGAGCAAGAGGCTTGACTTTTGTTTGCCTATATGGCTCCATTATTTTTCTAATTAATTATGATAATCTGGATAAATCTGATGGGTTACGTGGCGTCCCGGGGTGGCAATAACAAATTTATAAATCATGATATAAAATAAATGAAAATACGAAATTAAAAAAGAAAACATATAAATAATTTATAAAAAAAAAAAAGGTGGAAGGCTGAGAGGACATGAGAGCGGAGACCTAAGCTTGTCTCAAATTCACGCTTTCTCTTAGGCTTCGTAATGAAAAGTCAAAAAGACCCTGGAGCACTTTCCAATTTACGATATTAGTAACTGAAATCAGTGGAGAGAGTGCAAAAAAAAAAAAATTTCTTCCCCTTAGCCCCTATTCTTCTTGCATTGGTCGATCTCACTGCGAAGAAATTAGAGCTCCGACGGCAGCTTGTTCTGGTAACCGGAAATTGGACGCCATGTCACCGGGAGAAACGGTTTCCCGGTCACCTCTGGATAAGCCTCTCAACCAGCTTACGAGGATGACATTTCTCAGGTCACTCGCGAGATTGCCGCCGTTACCTCAAAGAGAAAGGTTTCACGCACACACACTCTCTGTGTGTGTGCATATTTTCTTATTTTATTTGTGTATGTTTTGTGTTTTTAGTTTAAAAGTGTTTGCATGTATTGATTTAGATTTTGTTGTTTTTGGTTTGTTCTTTGGTTGTAGGGATGCGGAGACCGTCGTGGAACAAATCGCAAGCGATTCAGCAGGTGATCTCGCTGAAAAATCTTCTTGAAATGAATTCAGATTCCGACGGCGCCGATGCTCGGAAGAAGCTTTACATTCCCTGTCCCGAATATCCTCCTCGCGTGCGTAATTTTACTTGGTTATTAGACGCATTTTAGAAACTTTTCTTTTGGTCAAACTAATCGAATTAAATATTTTTTTCACAGGTCGTTTCTGATTCAACCGTTCTACCGAACGAAATGACACCGCACAACGGGATCTTGGCTCCAGCCAACGAACCCATCCCTTATCCCCGTTCAAATCCCTCTAAATCTGAATTTTCCGGTGATAGTTCCGGTCGAAATATCGCCGCCGGAAATGATTCCGTTTCTCCAAGGTTCTCTACTTGTGGCAGTCTATTGTTTCATTTTTGAATAACCCTACTTCAATGAGAATGAGATCATTTAATTCTCCTATTCTTTAGGAAGTTTGATCCAACATAATGTTGGTGAAGCTTGTCCGTGATTGACGGTTGCTAGAGTCAATGGTTAAATATTAGTGTTTCAATGTGAACGGAATGTGAATTTTGCACATGTTCCCGGGTGTCTGTGTGGTATAACGTATTCCATAATTTCCAAGGACGAATTTCTGCTTGCAATTAAGTCCAGATCTTCTAGTCAACAATGACGGCATGCTAATTATAAGTTTTTTTCCTTTTTTCTTTGCACTATTAGACTTGTGATCTGGAGGGTCATAGAGTTCTGAACATTTAAATTAGTTGCATGAGTGGTAGGGTCAACAGATGATGTGGCACCGACTGTTGATTTATTTAGTTTGCCGGAGTAATCCATTGATCTTGCCATCAAAATGGAATGAAATTGAAGTTAGGTACAAAAGCAATTTGGAGTAAGTGTGTGGTTGTTGACTTGTTGATGGTTTTCTTTGATCGATACCAACTGTAGAGGAACTAAATACTTCTTTCAGGAATATCCAATTAATTGAAATCTTGTAGTGCTTTCGTCACATTTCTTCCCATTCTTAGTGCTTTGCTTATAATTAGCATGGCTTCTGGTTACAAATTCTTGTATATATGAAAGGGCAGCTGAAATGTATGCTTTACCCCTTCTTTGCTTTCGTGATTTTGGCTTGTAGGACTATATACTTGATCAAAGCTTCTCCTTCTAGATTTACATTTAATAGATTTGCCGGTATATGATTTTGTGGTCATATATTTGCCTTCATAAAGTTTTTCGAAGAATCATCTACCTCTTCCCAAGTATCAAGATACCACTTGATCAAATGAGTTTAGACTACAGCATATCACTGAAGGTGGTGTCTTTCAATGTTTTCTGTCACTTTCCTCAAGATTGCACTTATTGCTTTACTGGTTAAACCCCATGACTTCTTTACTTCGATAACGAGCCTAATTTCATATTAGACTTTTCTAATTAAAATATTGTATCTTATTGGTTTGGTGCAGATTATTATTATTTTAATTTTTTAAATATACTTGAGGTCATAGTTCAGCTAAGCATGACCCAAGTCCTAAAAGATTTAGAGGGACTTGATTTTGAGTGAATTTTTGGGCCTTGACATAGACTTATCTTGAGCATTTCTTTTAAGGAATATATCATATTACTGGTTTTCCTTGGTTGATGGTGCCAATTGAAGTTCTAAGAGAAGTTTCCAACTGTCCAGAACTGCAGGTGCAGCAGCAAAAGAGCCAGGAGGACAGATGACAATCTTTTACTGTGGAAAAGTGTATGTCTATGATGATATACCTGGTTGTAAGGTCGTATATTTTCCACTCACAGTTCAGATATCTTATCGCTTGTTTTGCTATATAAGGCTTGTCATACAATGGTTTTGCAGGCTGAAGCAATCTTGCAACTTGCAGCTAGCCCAGTGCTATTTCCTCACGAAATTCTAGCCGATCAACGGACCACACCGTGGTCCATTCCATGCCATTCGCAGGCTGCAAGCGTCAAAACAAGCCCATGCTCGCCTATGGTTATATTGCCACCTCAGCAAACAGGTAGGCTTATGGGTTGGTTTAGTTGTTTTTAAGCTTCATTTCTCTAGTCCATATGTAGTTTGTGTGACCCAGAGCTGTAACAAGGAGAAATAAGCATTTTGCTTGGATGAACCTGTTTTAGTCCATAATGAATGTTGGTATATGCCTGTAGAATCTATGAAGGGTAAATGTACTGGCTTGTTTAAAAACGGGTATGATACTGTACTTATATAGCATGATAGTTCTCTACTGATTATTAACATGCCATGTTTATTTTCTTTCCAGTAAATTTAGCAGAAAACTGTCAGTTTCCTCGAGAAGAGTGCAACGCATCTCTTGAAAATAACCTTGGTATACTCTTCCTTCTAATTACTCAAAATCTCATCATTTTCTTATTGTCCCAGATTCAGCAGTGTTGCCAGTCTTTGATTTAATGAATTATGATTGGAACTTACTTGCCCTTGTTTTTGTATTTTTATGCTTATCAGCACTCTAATGCCTTTACTTATCATCTTGAATTGATTGTAATACAATAGAGCCAGCCTTTAGGTGCTTCAACCCCCTCCTTCCCTACATATTCCTTATTATCAACCTGGAGCATAGGCTTATTACAGACTCAGCTGCTGATATCACATTATAATTGAAGTTAGACAAACAGCAGAAGCAGAGTTTTCCTTTCTTGTGATGTTTTTCTAATCTGGGAATAGTTTTTCCGGCTCATGTCAGGACCATTTTTTATTCAAGAAACTATAGGATTTTTCAAGTTTTTGGATTTGATTAATATTGTTGTGTAAACAATAGTGTGATAAAACTGATATACTTCCATGGTAGGAATAACAGGATATTTGTACTAATATTAAGGTGTAAGTGATTGATGTAATCATCATGAGTGAAAAGAAACCAGCAATATATTATGGTTTTCGCGCAATATACAAGATGGTGACTTTTATGATATGATGATATCAACTTTCTTTCTCCCTTTATTTGCTCTAAATATTATTGTAACTTGTTTCCAGAAGGACCTACTAGCAGAAAAGCATTGGTGCAAAGATATCTTGAGAAGAAGAAAGACAGGTAGCTCCCATGCCAAATATGTCTTACAATCTAGTTTGCTTTCGTGTATGTTTCTCATACCCCTGTTAGGTGAAGGTTTAAGAACAAGAGAAAGTTGGCAACGTCTTCATCTCCTACCTTTGACATCTACTTAAATCAAATGGGAGATCAGTTTTCAAATGAGAAACAAGTGAACTGTGCTTTTCTCCCATGCCGAAGCACCTCGCACATCTCTCGAGTGCAGCTCCATTGAAATGTTGCAAAGATTGCTGGTCTTCCTACTCCCGACGGAAAAGGTGACAGTGAATTATCTCTTGTACGTTTTTCTTGCTTTTATGCAATAATAATAGGGTTCGAACCTAGGAAAACCAGGACAAATTTGATACTCATGTCTTAAACCAGTTACACTATTTCAGTGATATGTGAACTTCCCCGCTGATTAAACACATTTCGACTGGCCTGAACTGATGATATGCTGAAATGCATCAGATTTAAATAGTCAGCTGGTGCCACGCCTCAGTTCATGATACGATTCAAACTTAGCATGTACGTACCTAAAGATCCCTCAAGGTAATCATATTTGAAGTCACAGATCCATACACAAAGGATTGCACTTTGTAGAATCGATACCATTGATCTATAGAGTGCACTCTTGTGTTTGTGTTCACGAGGATGTGGGTTCGAATATGTGGAGGCACATCTAAGAGTGGCAAAACCTTGAAGGACTTTGGGATATCTCATCGCATTCCATCTAATGATAATTTCAGAATTTCATATTATTATCATATAACTGAAGTGTGATTGCGTCGTTGCAGATGGATTCAAAATATGAGCTTTGATCGGAGCCATGAGTTGGTGGGTAAGGACTAGGCATGGTGATTTCATCTAAGAGTTTGTAACATAATAGTTAACTTGTTTTATCAGTTGCGGCCATTATTATTACTTAGCTAAATGAGGAATCTAGTTTAGTCGGTGTCGCTGTAAGCTTTTATGATCACGTGGCAGCCGAAGAGAAACAAGTATGGTGTCCCATGGTCATTTTAAGCATATCCAGGCTTTTCAAGTCGTTTAACAAATCGTCCTTACGAAATTTGGAAACAAACAAGCCGTTTTAAGTCTTAAAAAGTTCATTATCATGTGTCATCTGCATTAATATAAGAGCTATTAGGTCTAATCATTTCAACACTTTTATTATGCATTTAGGCATACAAGATTACTTACTATGTAATCATGTCTGACTAAAAATAGATTCATATAATGTTATATATATAATAATCATATCAATAGAAAAATTAGAATTCATATCAAAGGAAAGTCTCATTTTCCATAACTGTACATAAATACTTATGTGCTTAGTCCCAAATAAAAAGTATGCATATATCTCCCCATTCTTTGCATTTGGATTTGGAGTAAAAAAAGTTAGGATTAATGGTTACTGTTTCCCTGTAATATATTCAATTTATTATTTTCTTTTAACTCTCGAAGTTGTTCAATTGCATTATTTTATAATCTATCCCAAAATTAAAATCTTAAATTATAAACCTTAAGTTGAGCTTGAGGTTTATGCTTTAGATGTTATGGGATTATATTTTAGGGTTTATAATTTAGGATTTTAAGTCAGGGGTACAATATAGAATGATGCAATCGAACAATTTCGAGGGTTAAATTGATGCGAAAATACGATAGGAGCTAAAGTAATAAATTGGATCTTCTACATGACAAAAAAAATTGCCCTTTTACCATAGTTTTACCATATAGTTATATAAAGGAGAAAAGAAGAGGCCTCCCAAATTCCCTTTGGTGGGGTTTGCTTCAGCATTTTAACAAAAGAAAGACGGGAGGGGGATGAAAATCATATAAAATGTTGTGTAGTGGGCCGCAAAAAGCTATTCAATAAGATTCCAAAAACCCAACCCAAGATTTTATAAACAATATATCAATGGCCATTATGCAACAAAAACATTCCTTTGTGTATGCTATATATATATAGAGAGAGAGAGAAAGAGAGAGAGAGAGAGAGAAAAGTTTGTTGTGTTTTGTTGAAGCTGTTTTGTGTTTGGCAGTTATCATATTTCTTCCGGTAAATTATGTATTTAGTACTTAAACTCTAAGTTTTAGTCCGTTTTATTACCTAAACTTTTATTTTGTTCAAAACCATACCTAATGTAAAGTTTTGAAAAAAAAACTGAAAGTTTAGGTACTAAAATGGATTAAAATTGATAATTTATGTACGCCAAGTATTTAATGGTGGGTACTAAAATGAAACAAAATTAAATATTATTTATGATTTTGAAAAAAATCAAAAGTTTAATATTAAAATGGGCCAACATTAATAATTTAGATACTAAATACGTAATTTACCCTAATTCTTTTGTGTTAAAGGCAGCAGTGATGGTTTTTCCTGGTCATTTTCCTGTTATTTTTATCTCTTTTTTCTAATTTTTAGTTGATTGTTGTTTAATTTTATTAATTTTTACTTTATATTTATAATAATATTTTCTTTTGACTCTTTTTTTAGTAAAGGATATTATGAATATAGATACTTTTAAGATCTTAATACAAGTTTCTTTCATTGGTATTCTTCTTAGTTTGTGGTTCTACGAGATTTATTGGTCACTTGTTTTCTCGATGTTTAATTTCTTCATTCGTTTGCATATGAAATTTTGTTACTTTTTAGATATTTGTACCAGATGAGACTGCAATTAAGGAGGATTAGTTTTTCATTTATCCACTTTGAATATTCTTCAAATTTTTCTCCTCTATGTTTGGTGCTCGGTGACATCAAAATGAATCATCTCCGTATATGGTTACTTCAATTATTAAAGTGCTTGTTTATCAGACTATTACTAGTCGCTCAATATTTTATTTATGATAATTGTGAGTATATTTATCCGACATGTATACGGTAAGACATTGTTGATGAATTTTTTATGACTAATAAATATACCATAATTCCACTTTTTTTTTAAAAAAAAAAATCCTTCATTATTAAGCATTTGAAGAACATATCCTATTATTAAGGGACAGAGCCACTAAGGGTGCGTTTGGTTCACGGAATGTAAAATTAGCAGTGGGAATAAAAGATTACCAGGGAATAGGATTACTGGGAATGTTGTATTTTGTGTTTAATTGCAGGAATGTAAGATTACCATGTTTGGTTAAATAAATAAAAGATTATTGGAATGTGTATTTGACCAAATTGTCCTTATTATATATTTGTTTTTTTAAACAAATTGAAAAATATTTATATATTTTCTTTAAAAATTTAAATTCATAAAATTTATATAAATTTTTTTATAAAATTGAAAATATAAAAAGGTTTAATGAAAGGGTAAATTTTTATTTTAACCTCTGAACTTCATATAAAATTTTAATTATAGACTTTTTTTGTAAATCTAAAATAGTTTAAGGATAAATTTGTAATTTAACATTCGTAGAATTTTTATTATTCAATGACAGAATAAGGATGTTTTTGAAAGAAATTTTTTTAAGAGCATTTTAGTCCAAAACGCTGGTAATCCAACAATACTTAAGGAAAAGGATGTAATGACATTCCCGGTAATATACCCCAAAAAATCTATTATTGGTAATGTAAGATTACCGGGAATGACATTCACGGCCAACCAAACGGGAGAATGTGGATTCCATTCTCATGATAATCTCACATTCCTCCAACCAAATACACCCTAAGGGCTTGGGAGTGGCTGTGGTCCCACCCAACCAAAATTTTGTTTTTAAAATTTAATTTATATACAATATTTAAATATTTATGGAATAATTATGAAATTGCTTTCCAAATTTTAGAAAAGTTATAGCCCTCAAGTTGAAATTTTAACTCCGTCTCTGTTAATGCGTAATCTGAACCAAAATTATGAAGATTATAAACAAGTAGAAATCATACATACGACAGATTGTTGTTAGTGGGTTATAAAGAGTTTAATGTCCTTGAGATTACATATTCGATTTCGAGTCTTGACGATGAAAAAAAAAATGTTAAAAGAATTTTGTATATGGTTTGATTTTAAATATTCGATCAAGGTTATTACTTAAATCTAAGGGTATTTGTTTTTTTTTTAAAAATTATATTCAAATATTTTAAAATAACAAAATCTTAGGAAACTATTAAAAGCTGTTCGAATCAATTGATCTCTCCGATAAATAAATCATTGTTATTTATTTAAATACCATCATTGTATGTGTTTAATGTCAAGAGATTAATATCTTTGAGCAGATATTGACTTTTTACTCTTAATTAATGTCGTATTTCCTATAAGACCCATGTGAATGGGAATGACTATACTAACTATTAACCAACGCACATTATCACCGCAAGAAGAAACAAAAATCTAGCAACCTTGCTTAGGGACAACCCTAGAAAAACTCGGCGGTGCATATGGAACTAGAACCCTAGAAAAACAAGGTGTAGGTCTTCGTAGGACTTTTAGGGGAGCCTTGAATGAATACTGAATAGTATCCAAAGATTAAGCATGCACTGAAGGGGTCAGAGCAAAGAGGACCAAAAGCCAGGAGCCCAACCATTACATTGTTAACACATACCTCTGTTGTTTAAAATTCACTTCACAGTTCTGTCATCGTCTTCCCCTCTCTCTCACATGATTCCCTCCTTATCGTCCTTTCTAGCAGCTCGAGCTTCGTTTATATATCTCCTTATAATTCCATCGCTCGGCTCTGAAACCTCTCGAGCAAATATTATCCAGCTTGATGATTCACGTGCACCCGCTAGCACTTGAAGCTGCCAGCATGATCTAAACTTCCTTCGTTGTCGAAGGACGGATCAGATCATGTGGTAGCTTCACCTGCTGCCGGATTCACGAACCGAAACAAGCTCCTCGGCTGCATTTTTCACGATGATCTTCTTCGATATAATCCGTTCTCCTGTGTTATTACTTTTCCCAGGGTTTTCCTATAAACTATTTTTTACTTTCATCGTAAGTGACACGTATTCTACAGGGATTAAGCTCTCACAGCAAGCAAAAAAACAGGAAAAAGATGGTGGAAAGAGATGGGAATTGAGATGGTCATCATTGTTTTGAGCCATGCAACGTGATCAAATTATCCACTGCATGGTTATGTATCAAAAAACAGGGTTCGTGTAAGGTGGATTCCTTTTAAGAAGTATAAATTTTGTTTATTATCATTTGATTAATGGGATGACACGTTAGGTATTTTAAGTAAATAATTATATTATGAATAAAGAATGAATTGAAAAGAATATTCTCATAATAAAATTTTATAATATTTAATTCAAAATATAGAAATTTTATATAGAAATTTTTGTTCGTGTCTATACAACGATCAAGAACAAGAAACAAGATCCATACTGAAATCAAATCCTCCATCAATCTTAAAAAAAATAAAATGAAACATATTAATTGAAGTAATCTTAATTCATCACAATTTAGTTAATTAAAAATTAGCTAGTCATCCTTGCACGAACCAAATTACCTTAAGGGGGTGTTTGGTTCAAGGATTGCATGGGAATCCCACATTCCCATGTTTGGTTGGCCGGGAATGTTTTATTACCAATAGTAGATTTTTTGGGGTATATTACCGGGAATGTCATTACCTCCATTCCCTTAGGTATTGTAACATTACCAGTGTTTTGGACTAAAATGCCCTTAAATTTTATTTTTTTTCAAAAATATCCTTCTTCTATCATTGAATAATAAAAATTCTACGAATGTTAAATTACAAATTTATCCTTAAATTATTTTAGATTTACAAAAAAAAATCTATAATTAAAATTTTATATGAAGCTCAGGGGTTAAATTTTTTTTACCCTTTCATTAAACCTTTTTTATATTTTTAATTTTGTAAAAAAAATTATATAAATATTATGAATTTAATTTTTTAAAGAAAATATATAAATATTTTACAATTTGTAATATTATACAAATATATAATAAGGACAATTTGGTCAAATATACATTCCAATAATCTTTTATTCCTTTAACCAAACACGGTAATCTTACATTCTTGCTAAACAAACCAAACACAAAATACAACATTCCTAGTAATCCTATTCCCTGGTAATCTTTTATTCCCACTGGTAATCTTACATTCCGTGAACCAAACGCACCCT